TCCTCCAGGTCCCTCCTCCAGGTCCCTCCTCCAGACCCTGGGCGGGGAGCATCCGCACCGCCCGACGGCAATGAGCGCGGGCACCACCTCCCCCCCTCCGGTGCCAGCGCAGGGATGGACCCAGAAACTGCCCTGAGCCAGGTCTGCCATTCACTAGGTTCTCCCCCACACACACCCGCGCCCCCTGTTCCCCACCCGCCCAGCCCCCACGTGTGTCCAGAGGGCGATCAGCTAGGACCGAGTGCCCGCAGGCAAACCACTCAAACCTCCTTCCCTTGTGAATTACAACCATCAAGAGCCAGCACCCACCCGCAGGGAGGGCAGTGCAATCGCTGTGGTTGTTCTTAACGCGCTGGTTCACACACCTGCCCCTCCGCCCTGCCCTCCCCGTGCAATCTCCCCGGGCTGCAGATAAACCGGTGTCAGCTGGAGCCTCCCAAGTTGCCCCGGACCCCATCCGTCTATTTCTCTAGCCCCACCTGCCGACAGTGCCATTCAACAGGATCACTGGCAGCCCCGGCCCCAACGGTGCAGCTTCAGGCCACCACACTGGCTGGAAAGGATCTGTTCTGAGGTCTCTCTTCTCCACTGGACTGTGACCCCTGAGGATGGAGCGCTCAGACATCTTTCTGTCCCCTGCTCCTTGCACAGTGCCGGCAGGTGCAGTGCCCCATCAAGGCTGGCTGGGCCCAGTGGCTTTGCTAGACGGCCTCCCTGAACCTCAGGGCTCGTGTCGGTCAGTGATTGTGGGAGCAGCTGGGAGCCACTGCTCAGCCGCCTGGCCCAGTCCCCTTTGAGAGCTGCTCTGCACGGCCGGCCGGGCACTCGGCGAGGCTGGCTCCTGGCTGGGCGCACTGTGGAGGGAGCCCCCGTTTGGTGGCGGTATTCAGGCCTAAGACCAGCCCCCAGTTCCTTGGGTTTCTGGGGGTCTGGAGTGTCATTACCTGGGGTCTGTGTGCAGACCTTGGGGGTGCTTGTCTGTGAACCATCTGAGATCATGTGCAAAACTCCAGGTGTATGTGGTATAGGTCAGTGGTCGGCAAACTGGCTTGCGAGCCACACGCGGCTCTTTGGCCCCTTGAGTGTGGCTCTTCCTAAGCCTTAGGAGCACCCTAATTAAGTTAATAACAATGTACCTACCTATATAGTTTAAGTTTAAAAAATTTGGCTCTCAAAAGAAATTTCAATCGTTGTACTGTTGATATTTGGCTCTGTTGACTAATGAGTTTGCCGACCACTGGTATAGGGGATGTGCCTGGCTG